ATATATATATATATACTGTATATATATATATATATATTGCAGGGGTACAGTCATGCTGTTTTGCAACATCAGCCAATTCAGTTACTTTTTTTCTAATCCAGTTCTTACTTCAGCGCTCTGCCATGTCGTATTTAAGACTAAAGGGGGTGCAGTGGTAGGGCCAATTTAGAACCAGAAAGTCACAAGTTAGATTCCCTGACATTCTCATATGGTGTGGTGTCCTTGAGCAAGACACCTATTCCTAGCTGCTCACATAACTGTCTGCTGCTTCATCTTATGTGCGATGGGATCAAATGCAGAGCACAAATTTCATCACTGTATGGAGACCTACAGTGACGGCAATAAATAACACATTTGTGCAAGTCCTCCATACAGGCTGAATGTGTAGCAAAGGAGAGCACAGCAATTCAGGTTSATGTTTTTAGTTTAACAGCACTACCTGCTGGTGAAACCCCTGCAAGGTCAGCATGATGGGACCCGCCCATGTAACATCCATTCCCCCCCCCGCCATATGACTCCAGAACTGCTTAATGTTTAAGTTAAATATTACAAGATTTAAAACATATTTATTTTATTTCTTTGGTGACACAAAGCAAGAAAAAAAGTCATTTAAAAATAATCACAATATAGCTCCAACATTCACATTGTAAAGTTAAAAAAAGTTGTTATATAAATATAAAATAGTATTATGTGCACAATAAGGGTAAAACGCAGAGACATTCACAGGTAATAAAATATTTCTCCAAGAAAATGCATTTCCATCCACATGTACACGCATTTTGTCAGTGTAACGGAACACAATTATTATTTTTGTAGCCCAATGTAGTTCTTGGTGGTAACAATGTAAAAAAAATGATATGTGAAATATTTCTTTTGCTGAAAAATGCTAAGACAATCTGGGAATGTGTCCTGTCTTCTGTTGAACATATAAAATAGATATATGCGTGTGTATAAAAAGTGCTGCTGGGCCAAGTAACAGCAACGTTGTTTTTTTTTCCTTCCTTAACCTGGCAGCATAAAACACATGAAGAAATCAAAAGCAGCTTGAAAATAAATTAGAAGTATTTCTGTGTAAATAGCTGTTACGTTCAAGCCTTTGAGTGTTTCACAAAATACATTCTCTCAATGGTTCACAATCATAAACAAAATTAAGTTCAGTGAAGAAAAGTCCAAAACATCAAAACAAATGACTAAGAAGGCTACAACAGAATAGGGAAATTATGAAAAAAACAAACAAAACAACAACAACAACTCTTTGGCTTGGTCTTACGAACAGCATTACAGGTGATGTAAACATGCTGCATCAACGATATGTGAGCTTTGCACTGATCAGAAAATACAGACTACGTAAGCCACACGTCCTTACTTTCACTTTAAAATCAAAATAAATCAGCTTTTATCTGTATATAAAAGCTTTGACAACAGGTACTCTTAAAGAGGAATCTCATAATAAATCAACTCATGTAAAACAGATTTAAACTGCAAGATTAGTTTGTTGCACAATTCATTCCTGTTTGAGTTTAAACTCATGAAATGTAGCAACATTGGTAGAAAATGCAGAGGATGTCATTTTTCTTTTTGATGCAAGACTTTACATGGTTCAGTCTGAAACCACACAAACATTATAAGCGCTATTTTTTACAACTTTCTTTCTGTGAATAAGGTACTTTTTTAATAGCAGGGTTTGTGTAGAAATGTGTTAAACAACATTGATAATCTTTTACAGTCAGTTGAGAATTAAAAAAAAAAAGAAAACATCTGCTGCTAAGCAGAACACAGGGTAGGAGTACTTTTTTTTCTTTTGCTTTTCCAGTAGCCAGCTGAAAGGTTTTTGTCCACATTGGAGCTGCTCCACAACAGTCTCCTTGATATTAAACAGTCATTTATCAACATTTCGAAGGCACTTCATGTAGTTGCATATTCATCCAAAATGCAAGAAAACTGCAGTTTGGTCGATTTCTTTGGGGAGCTCTTCTTTGTGCTTTTTTTTCTCTCTCCTTTCTTTCTTCTTTTTCTCTTTTCACACAAGCTTTCGTGCGAGTGTCCTTAAAGAAGCCATGCCAGTTCTTTTTATTTTTTTTTAAATCATGGCTTCTTCTTCTTCTGTTCGGTTATGTTTCTTCTCCCTCTGAATCGCGGAGGGTGGAAGTTGTTGATGCTGTAGAGACTACTGTGATGATGTCTTCTTAAATAGGTCCTCTGATAGGTTGATGCTGGAAGAATATAAAAAAGCATACGTGTATAGCCAGAATGAAACATTTGTGTTGATATTCAACTGTTTTTTTTTTTTTTTTTGTGGGGGGGGGGGGGTTGCATTTGAAATAGTAAATGGTTTGAACTTATTTAGTGCTTTATTAAGTTCAAGGACTCCACAGCACTTTATAATACAGTCATTCACCCATTCATACACACATTCACACACTGATGGCGGTAAGCTACAATGTAGCTTTATCATTGTATTTTACATTATTAAAAATCTAAAGTCTGTTTAGGAGACACAGCTGCTGTAGTTCTGTACTTACGGTTTACGCAGGTGATTTTAGGTATATCCCATCGTCCATCTCCACGGCAGCGGATGATTGGAACATGCCGCTGAATAAAGCCTGATCGGCAATGGTACCTCACCAGGGAGTTGATTTCATACCTCTCACGCATCTTACCAAAGGTATGTGCATTCTCTACCAGTGGAGGTTGACTACAGGCCACTTAAAGCCAAAACAGAAAACATTATAAATTACAACTGAAGAAAAATTATCTCCTCACAGATTTAAGAAAGTTATTGCGCTAACGAATCCATCCTACAATAATAAAAAGGGTGATTACGCACCTGTGCCCTTTTTGCAGGTAAAAGTGAGATGATAGTTGCACGGGACGTCGTTCCACTGGCCGTCCTCGTGCCATATCATCACCACGCAGTCCTCGCCAGAAGTAAAGAAGCTGTCCGGCTGGTTCGGCCTCCAGTTTTCATATTGCTGTAGAAAAAAAGAAAGAACAAGAAAAAAGTTCCTCAAGTGTACTTGATATTTCTTTAAAGGTAAAAGTGTTTTATTTTGACAGAGATTACCACAGCAAAAAATGTGCAAGAGTTAATACTAAATTTCTTATGATAAAAAACTTCATCAGATGAGACTCAAAATCATCTGCTAGTCAACAGTTATCGTGAATGTTGTGCATTAATTTAAAACTGATACTTTTTTCTGTCCTTTTTTTTTGCTAAAATTAGGGAGAATTATGAGTTTATGTTAAGCCACATTGAAAATGTAGTTGTTTAAAAAACTGTAAGTGCATTTTTTTGTATTTAACTAAGCACACAGCTTAACATGGACATCATTAAAAATTTCTTTTCTTTTCCTTTTTTTTTGTTACTGAATTAACTTCCAAACATGACCATAAAAGCCAGACCACATTGTGATCCTAAATATTGTCCACAAGAGGGAGTAACTGGGCCTCTATAGAGGTCCACTAAGCTCAGCAAGTCCTCATAAAACAAGTCTGCAAAATCTTTTGTCTGGACGAAGATATACAGCTAAAATATTTCTAAAGTGGAATTTAAAACGGTTTATGCTTCGGCGCATCAAATCGTGCAGCAAGAATAAACTGTTTCTTTAGAAATGTTTTTCACCTATATTACATATTACTTGTCAGATATCACACACTGCAATGTGACTTTATCTTCTTGGCATTTATGCTGTCACACTTTGTATGTTTTTGTGATAAGAGACAATCATGACTTCATGACGGCATTTTATCACTTTGTCTGTGTATGATTTCATGTATCATGTCTGCTCAGAAAAAAAAAAACAAACAAACAAACATGCTCCTCACACCTCACACAGACTGYACATATTGATGTGTAAAGAGTGTACACACAGCTGTGGAGCTGTGAGGCATTCAGGCCGGAGTAGATGGTAACTGCAGTCTTTCAGCGCATTCTAGGTTCAAACACTTTCTTCAAAGGTGGGACTCTGTTTCCCCTATCCCCACCTCCCCAAACTCCTTCCACGATGCCTCTAGGCTCAGCTGCTCTGTCATTATGGTTAACCAACACACACCAGCTTCCTGCTCTGCTCACTCCAACTTAACAAATGGTCGACCCATCAACTACCCGGCAGGTCTGCATCCTTCTAAAAAAAAAATTTAATTAATTTAAAAAAGATAAAAAATCTGACTTTAACTCCTAGCATGACACACATTTACCAATATTGTAGCAACTGTATTTTTGTCAGTGCACTATTATTAACATTAAAATAAGTTTGATTGTTTTGGAGAGTTACTCTGTCACAGGAGTTTAAAATTAGTCGTATTATTTAGTTGGGGCTAGCAGAGGTGACCACCCACCCAGACCCCCTAGGGGTGCTTCTACGTTGTATTTTTTTTTTTTTTTAATTCAAGCTACAGAGGAGCACAGGTGCTGTCCATCTGTGTGTCTGTATGGTGGCCCTGCCCCTGGGTGGCTGCCTTCTGGCTGAGAGTGAGGAATGAAGAGGGGACTACACTAGTCCACGCCTGCCAAACAGAGCTTCACTCAAACCCTCATCACCTCTAAATTGGTCTTAACAGGAGACCTCTGCTTATCTTTTAACCCCCAGGCTTGTTTCCTACTTCCTCTCTATCTCTGCTGCTGGAGGACTATTTTTTGAAAGGACCTCATCTGAACGACACAGCTGCATGTTTTAATGACATTTTTCTATAGTGTAGGAAATCATCCGAAAATACAACTGCAATAAACACGTAATTAAGTGCTGTTTTTGAAAAGTGGCATTTGTGATGAGAATGCACTTTTTTCTCTTTTGCCTAATTATTCACTTTTGGAAATTGGTGAAGGTGATTGAGTAGAGCCTTACAGCTTGCTCCATATCAGTTTTATTGACTGAGCTCTTATACGAGGCAGAGGAGAGTACATCATGAGAAAGTCACTCACTTGAAAGAGTTTACCTAAATGATCGACTCTCCCTGGTTGACTGCATCTGTCATCTGCATCTCATCTAAATATTTACATAGCCTGTGCGCCAAGTTTGTTGGGACTATTACGTGAGAAAGGAACCTATCTTACCACAGGGTTGCCATCAGTCCATCGGAAGTCGCTGTCAAACACCTTATCATTTAGGCCAATCCACTGGTAGTCCTGTCCCAGACCTGCCAGGAAGTTGAGAATGAAAAACAACAGTTTGCATTTCTGATTTTCCCACATGTCCTCTTCTGGATTGTTCAGATACGGAACGTGAAAGATAAAGATAACAATATTTTTAATGCCTGAACATTTTTTTCTGCACTTACTTGGCTTTATCAAAAAAGCTTGTTTTGTTTCAGTTTCATCATGCACAAGAACTATCACACAGATTGCACAAAGAAATGTTCTTGTATCTATTAGGGATTATCTAGAGCAGGCTTTAACTTACGGTTGATAAACTGTTGCTCCTCATGGGAAAGAACGCTGCTGAGATGAGCACCCTGAACGCGGCAGTCCCGCTCTGCAGAGTCCCAGGTTTTCCTCTGTGGGAAGTACTTGTAGCAGTGTCCCTGAAACTTGTGCCAGCCATAATCACAGGTTTCAGTGTCTGGAGGAAGACAGAACAAGATTGAATAGAAGTAGATCTGATTTAGATCTTGGTAAAACATCAACTTGCATGGAATACAGTACAAACTTTAAGCTTTTATTCAATAGTTGTTTATTTTAACACCTTAACATTTACAACATCAACTAATCTACTAAATCTACATTACTCTTCACACCTGGATATACTGACCCTTCAGGCCTGCGGTTATCTCTGATGCTGTTTGTAAATACAATAAAAAGGAAGAAACAAGTCCTGTTAAGTGAGAAAAATTTTCCAAATCTGGTATGTTAAAGTGATGTCACTATGTAAAAATTCTAAGAAAATTACATTAAATGCATGTGTGTAGCAAATGTAAAAGAACAACTGTATTTGGCCAAAGCGCTGCACACAAAACAAAAATACAAATAACTATAAATATGAGAAAAATTGAAACCAATAAAATGAAGCAACATTGCCAGTCTTGCTCTGTTAAAAGCCAAATTGCTTAAAATCGAATAAAAAAGTAAACTAATGCAACATTTAAAAATATGGTTTAAAAACAAGTTGAACTGTAGATTACAACTTTCTGAACACACAATAAACTTTCTGAAATACCAATTAGCAAAACAAAAATGTTTTAAGTACCACTAACAACATTATAAAATATAAAATGTGAAAAAAAATATGAAAGCTGTAAATAGGTGCGAAGTGTATAACTTCAGTTTATGTAGTAAAAAAATAAGAGTGTATTTTTCTCTTCCCTGTTTCTATGTATTATTATCAAAAAAAAAACTAAATAACAAAAACTGGATTGGAAACCTTTTTGGGGTTGTTCCTCCTTATTCTAGCCTCCCCCCACACCCCTTTTTTTTAATTTGGCAATGCTTGTACACAATATGGGAGGGATTCCCAGATGAGCGATTCAAACTAAATCTTAGGGCGTAGACCTGCTGAGAGCGACCAGCCAAGACCTCTGTTGGCTCACCATTATATCCTAACATGAATAAATATGAATACCCAGCTAGTGTGCAGAGATTTTAAGACAATTTTCAGGTCTAACTATGCAAGACAGAAATAATAAGATGTGACATGAGGACTATCTAAAGTAACTTTATGTGCTGCCAAAAAGCTTTCTTTTTTATTAGAAAGTTGCTAAGTACACAAAATACTCCAGAAATATCTAAGTTATGGTTAGATCAGGTTGAACTGTCTAAGTGCCAAAAAAGGAGCAATATTTTATTTTCCCATTTGACATAGGAAACACTTCTGCATGAACAAAATTAATTATAA